AATAGTATTCAAGAGGAATGAAAAACCCCACTATTAAAATTAATACATAAAACACGTCTGCTTCATATCAAATACAGTTAGTGTTCGTTCTAAATGTACTTGTATCAAATCAAATTGTTAAATCAGCGATTGTGAGTATAATGTTGATTCGTCAAGTTCAGCACAACAAAGTATAATTATTTTCTGCAAATTGAATGTAACAAATTATTAAATGTGCTAGCGAAAAGAAAACCATAAAAAAAACTACAAGTATTTTAAAAGTCAATAGTTCTCCCGTTTCATTTAAATTAATAATAAAAGATTAATAATTTAAGATTCATGACAGTGTAAGTAGGTATATGTAAATAATGTTGTTATAGATAACGTTGTTAAAATATACTCACATTAATGCACTTATATAAATTTTAATAAAAAAGTTTTTAATTTATATAGACGATATATTAAACTTTTTGAGGGGCGTATTCAGTTTTAATTGTATTATACTGACATTTGATATTTAAGTTGATACACGACCTTTAATTTAATATGTAAAATAATATAATGTAATATGTACTCATAAATTTGGCTCGTGCTTCGCACTAAAAAGTAAACATATATTTTTGAGGTTTAATGTATTATTAAAAATGGTCGAGTTCCATAAAATTTTTATTATTCAAAACGTTTTATTGTTTATTTATTTATAATCGATTTTACTTACACAATAAACAAATATGATAAGAACAATTGAATCTGAAATGAATCAAAGTGGGAACCTACTTAGTGATGTAACCCTTTATAATGATTATTTGTTTTTTGTTATAAATAATTTGTCAAATTTGAATTTGCTGGTACTTTAAAATATTAACGGTAAGAAATGTTATTGAGTTATAATTTATTTATTAGTTTTTTTTTCTTTTATTATTATTTTATAAAAAGTTCATGGCATTATGTTCGATCAAGTCAACGGATTGGGGTATTAAAGAGGGTTAAAGACAAAATATAAGACATTAAGATATCATTATAGTCTATTGTGAATGTTTTTGTAAATTTTTTTGTTAGTTAATGTTTTCAATTTCTGTGTCTTCATGAAGAAAGTTGATTCGTACCAGGGGAAGGATGTGATTATACGAAACGATATGTTTTGAAAAATTTTAGTAGTGCAAGTTTGGGAAGGTTTGCACTACCGAAAATTTGCATGGATTTTAGAAGAGTAAAGATTATTTGTAAATAAGAATTTGAGTTTGGATAGAGAGTTTTGATTTGAGTATGGGGCGTAATAGATGTAAGTGGCTCTCAAATGGTTTTCGTTTGGTTCAGATATGAGGGCACCAAGTTGGTTTTTTGTTAAATATTGTTATTAGTAGAGTTCGTGGCTTGTTGCATTTGTATATTGCTTAATAATGACCGCAGAATAGTCTAAGTAAGATTTAAATTTGTTTTACGTCATAACAGATTGAAATAAAAAAAATTTTAATTGTATATTTTTGCATATTTTGCCGTTTTCTAAGTAAAATGCATATTTGACAAATATTGGCAGTTTAATTGTTATTTATAGTATATTTAAGCAGTTTTTGTTTTATGTTAAGTACATTTATTTCAAAGGTTAACTTTATTAATTTTTTACTTTCATATGTTGTTCAATATACCTAACCACTCTTAATAAGTAATTGTTTCTCCGTATAGCTCGGTTTATTTATAAAGATGAGATGAGATAATAACATTATTAACTGGATTTGGCAACTAGGGAAATACTTAATTATTCCTGCGTATACTATCGACGATAAGTTATCTACTTATCGTAAATCGTTTAAGAGTAAAACAATGTGAAAAGAAAATAAGAATTCAGTTTGTTTTCGTGTGACGTGGCTTTTAAAATCGTTATTCTTATAGATCTCGTAATTTTAAAGATGCCGAAAATAACGAGCTTATTTGATAATATATCACCAAGTTTGGAAAAAAAAATTTTCATTGTAGAAGAAGACGAAAAAAAACGAAATCGAATATACACTTTAGTAATGTTGTTTGTTCAGTAATAAATGTTGATAGTGTTATTGTTGTAAAAAATAACTAATTACAAAAAATTTTCTAAATTAAAATGAATAAATCAAATTTTTTAATTGGCATTTAAAAAATATTCAGTTGCATATTTTTTCGCATTTTTCGGTTATTTTAAGTGCATATATGCATGCATATTTCTTACAATCTGTGTACAATAAGTCCCGAACCCTAGTTATTAGGTATTTAACTTAAAATGGGCAATCCTTGAAAATACAGTTAGGACATGTTTTTTATTTTTGTTTAGTGTGATCTACACTATTATTAATTTATCGGCATTAATTTTTATGCTTCAGTTCGACGACCCATTTATTAAGTTAATTAAGATGGAGTTTGAGAGCGTTAATGGCTGTGATAGAATCATCATGTAATGCTAATATTGCAGTATCATCTGTATCATCATAGCGTACTAGTTTTTATTATAAAAATATCAGATATACATTCGAGTATCTACGTTAAAGAGATCGGAAATAATGGATTTTAAAATTGTGTTTACTTTCCATTTACCCCTTATTTTGTACAAGATTTTTATTTACACTTAAAATTTTTTATATTTCATTTATTAAAAATCTGTAAAATATCTTATATTATTAAATTAAATTATATATATTAATAGTAGGCATAATAATCAGTGAACACATATATTAATTTAACGTCAATAAATACGTTTTGTTTTGTATTTATCTGGTTTCTCTGCACTAAATATTATCATAGGAATACTATAGGTTTAAATTTATCGATAAAATGAGCAAAACAAAAAAAATATATAGCTTCCACGAAAATAATCTTATATATTAGTTATAATAAGTTTAATTTATTCTTTATTAGGTATAAGTAATAAAAAAATTAATTATATTTTCACTTATGAGTTTACTATTTACTAATTTTTATTAAATTTTTTATTATTTAACTAAAAATTAATTTATTTGAGAAGACGGGATCGGTAAAATATTTACGATAACACTCAAGTATGTTGAATTATTTGTCGATAAATAATGATATAGTTTTTTTATTTAATAACTTTGATTAGATAACCTCGCGGACTTTATATCTTTATATTTTTGTTTCTAAATGAAATAGTTAAAAAGGCATAATCATAACAACATATCCTTTTCTTAATAAACATTAATTGTTCAACAACATATGATATATTAAAAACATTTATAGTTCTGTGTTCACGTATTTGAGTTCAAATGTAATTTATGAGGATTTTTCTCTTATACATTTATTTTAAATAAAAAAAAATTATACATTATTTATTATGATAAATAATACAGTTTATTAAAAATTTTATAAATTAATAAAAAAGTATTATTATTATTTAATGGGATTGTTCTTTGTCGCAAATTAACTGGAAAATATAAATTTACAAATAAAACAACACATTGTGAATATTAAAAATAATATATGTTTTTTTACAACTTTCTACGCCTTGAAAATTTCAAACTCGACCTAGAATCCAACAACATCTTATCTTGTTTAACAGCACTATTATCGATACGGAGAGAATGTTTTCAGTGAAGAGATCGTATAGCAAAGTAAAAAGAAAAAAGCTATTGTGACAAAATGAAATTTGATGATTTATTGACAATTACAAATATGGTATTCAACATAACATTCCTAACCTAGTCATTCAACTTTTAGAACATATAGGTAGTTATAATTTATAATAATATATCTAACATATTTTAAATTATTTGAAAATATGATTTCTAGATAACTGACAAGTATAATGATTGCATTTGCAGTTTAGAAAATAATCGATTAGTTTCGATGGAGTCGAATCATTGGATTCAACAATAAAATGCATCCATTTAACTGTGATAATTATATTGTCGAATCAAATCGATCGAAATCTTATACGAATTATTTGTTAAATCGCGTGAAACCGAAGTACCCAAGACGGTTGTCGTGTAGTTTCGCAACAACGGTATATTTAACATTGTTACTATCATAATTTTTATTACTTTTATGGAGCACGCTTTACATTATATTTTAAACGATTTTAAGCGATTCAAGTGAATTGAGCCATTAAAATCCTGTAACATTATAACAGATCATCACCAAAAATCATCAGAGAAACAAGTGTTCACTTTTATGATAAAAAACTACGCATCGTAAAATAATAATAATACACATCACAGTCCAATCATTTATCATGTTATACGAGTATGTACCATGTATTACCATGTATCATGGGGTTCGAAACCGATATTTTAATTTAAAAAAATATAAATGTTTTTAAACTCACTTATATCTATTAAATATTTTAACTTTTTTGAGCGGGTTTTTTGATAAGTTTGCTCTGTCTATAAGTTACGTACATACATTGTGTTCAGTGTGACGATATGTCATATAAAAATGTGAATTTTTCTTTTTCTTTAAGAGATGAAATTACTGGCGTTATCCAACTGGCGAATATCGTGTAGGTGCTATTATGATTATTATTTATTATTATTTTTATTAGTATTATTATTATTACTTTTATTTAGATTGTTGTAAAATACGGCAGGTGCTGGGGGATTACGCGCGTTATGGCCAATGATTTCGGTGTCCCTTTAACCGGAACGGTATTTGTTCTCTCCATTGACGTACTGGAAGCGGTGAACATAGTCGCCTTCCGGTCCGGAAACTCGTATAGACGCAATTTTTCAGATGATAAAAACGAATAACGAAAAACAGTGAAAAAAAAAAATTTACGCACGTATGGTGTTTTTCTGGACGTAACGTCGTATCCAGTACGTGTGTGTATATAAAAATAACCATGTCCGAACCGTCTATATGGTATTGGTGATTACGGTCGATACAAAAACTACAAAATCAACTCTAAACGCTGACCGCAAGCGCTCGCGAGTATTAAAATAATAATAATGATAATAATAAAATAAAAATCTATCCTATAGAAATCTATGCATTTATGTGTTATATGAAGTTTATGGACGGGGGCGAGAAGATGGCGAGCTTACTTCGTCGGAAGGGAAGTCATAGCAGTCGGCTACTCTTTGGTACAGTTCGCGGACATTGGAGAAGTTCGACACCAGCCCCGTAGGACTACCCTGGGCCTGCTGGCAGTGGAACACCAAATTTTGCTTCACATGATCGTCGTGTTCGTTGTGCCGGTTTTGCGCGGCCGTGGACGATGGGTCTTCCTTGATCTTTTGCGCGTGTTTTCGGTTGAACAAAGGCATATTACGCAACAGAAACGTTCAGCAGCAGCTGACGGCACGCACTCGCGCCGGTCGCCGTTAAGTCATAATAATAATAATACAGATAATAACAATGTCGAATTCCCGCGATAACTTTGGGCGACACGCGAGAAGATCGAATATCAAAGGACGATCGCAACACCGCACGGTACGAAGGATGATATTTTTTCAAACCGTAATCGTTTTCCTTTCCCTTCGGCTGATCGATTATCCTCGTGTTCCGATTCTGCGGCAACACGGGTATACCGGTTTAAGCGTACGGGCACACAGGACACGGGAAACACGCGCACTCGACGGCCGCGTTATTACGACTGGTCCGTCGGACGACCGCCACCGCCGCCGCCGCCACCGCCACACTGTACTTGTACGCGCGCGCGAGCGGCAGGTGTTGGCCCGAGTCGGTCGTTCAGAACCAGTGGTGTAGCGAGAAAGGAACGGGCGCCAGTGCAATCGAATAAACTATCACCCCAAACTAATATAATATTTTTGAGAAAATTCGAAAGATACACCGTCATGATGTGTTCTTTTGAACGCGAACATACTACGAACATGCTACGAAACGACAAATGAAAATAATTAAGAGATATTTAATAAGTATACAAAGTAAATAGGAAATCCAATTTAATGTTACAAAAAAAAAAACCGTATTGATCATCGTCACTTTATCCTGCGATAGATACACGCCAGCGGGTCAGGACGACGGTTTGCGCGCGCGTGTGCTGTAACAATCAAACATTACGCTCGGGGCGAAACTTCAAAATGCGCCATTATGTATTTTTAATTACAAAAGTATGTATTATGCTTATTAGACATTATTTTCAATGATTGCTTTAATTAATATGAAGGATGTTAAAGATTTCATAAACAAAATGTATGACATTGATCGTTGTTTACATTAAATGCAAGATTTTTATTTTTGCGCTCTCCCAGGAATTGCGTCTAGGGCGTAGGCTCCTCTCGCCACATTCTTGCGACGGCCCTTCGTTTACCTGACGATTGTGTTTGGTCGTCGTTCCGTCATGCGGATTTGTGCGTACGCGGTACGCTACTACAGGGTGAGCGCAAGTACACGCGCCCGAGGACCGTTGGTTCAGGCTCAAGAGGAGCGCCCCAGCAAACCGGCCTTACCCGACCATTGCATTGCGATTGAAATGAATGGTGAGCGAGAAAATCAACATTTGTAAGTGTAACGAATAATGCGTAGCAAGAGGAACATTTCGATTGACGAAATTTTTACGTTATATTTATGATATAGTTGATGATACTTTAACGAACAATAAACCTACTGTTCTGTTTATCCGTCTAGGGACACCGTATGTTGTACGCTGCTTGAGCACATGCCTAAATCTACATCCCTCCAAAATGCCTCGATGGTGGTGCAGTATAAATGGTGATTATATATAGTTTTTGTTTTTATTTTTTTCAGCTGCTGCAAAGGCAATGGTCGCGTGTGTGCCGGACAAACATTCTATTGTTGTAGTTTATAACACTGTACTCCGTTTCCATCCGTCTTGAAACGACACTGTTTATCTCGTTCGTATAAAGTATGATTTCAATAGAAGTTTTACAATCGAATGTCCTCTTAAAAAAAAAAAAAAAAAAAAACGTAAATGACCGGAATATATAATATACATAGTGAGACAACATTTATTCTCCGTCACTATTCGCCTACTTACGGTTGTCTAGACTTTAATTGTTTACCTATACACGATTATAATACTACATCACGCGTTCGATATTCCGTACAAATGAAAATTTGCAGCTGCGATCTGGAATACTGCAAAACCGAATTAATTAAATTATATATGTATATGCGCTCATACATAATATGTGTTTTTATTATACATTCCCCTTAAAATAATAGAGATCCTGATCCGCTTACATGATCACTCTGTACACACCACACATGGAATATATTATTATGTGTACGCACGCGCACAACGATGGTACATTATTGTTTAATAACATGCATTATTGTTGTTATATCAGCCTTAGACGAGTTGCAATACATATATATATATATATATGTACAAATCGGTATACGTTATGTAGCGTATTGTTAGTAAAATAATAATAATACATTATGATTTTTAAACCATCAGGAAAAAAGGATGGGTACATCGCATGTTGCACGCGATTGATTTCCGATATTTCCAGTGCCAAAGTATACACGTGGTCCAATCTATATGACGTTTACGTATACAGGTATGTACCTGAGAATATAAACACGAGTCGTCTACGTACTTATAGCTGAGGTTATGTTGATACTGTAATGATGTGCATCATTCGATTGTAAAATACTGCATAAACATTTTATAATAATGTATACCATATGATCATAAGCCATTTAAAAAAAATAAATTACGGTCCCTTCGATACCCAAACGGGCAACACAAATCGAACAATAAAGACCATTGACATTGTAAGTAGGTCAAATCTTCAAAGGGCTGGTCCAAGGTCCATCCCACTATACGTCCCTATATAACAGGACACATGGTATCGGGTCACTTCCCCGTCACCATTTCCCCATCTAATACACTACAATACAATCATTATATATATATAGGTCTTTTTTATGTACCAATTTTGTGACGGCGCTATTTAACTTTTTTCCAATTTTTTTTCATAGAGTTGTTCCAAATACCTTCCAGAGTGCCAGCACGTCGCCTATTTTTAAAATTTTGATTTTAAAGGGTTGAAATTGGCAAAAATAAATTTTTACCTGTAAACTTTTTCATTTTTTGGTGCCCTAGAAAATATGTTGATGTGTTTAATACAGTTAAGTTGAATACATTTTTTAACTAGTTAACTAGGCGACATATGTCGCCCAGTGATTATACTTTGTTGACAGTATTTTGAAAGATTGGGCGAAATAATGCGAAACAAACGTATAATACTATAATCGTACATGGTATTATACATTGACTATTTTGAGAAAAACAAGGCAAGTTGTATATATTTATAAGACAAGGCTTTAGTACCCAAAATATGGAGAAAGGCAAAAGAAGTGACAATGCCCAAACCAGGCAAAGATTACAAAAACCCAAAAAATTACAGATTCAAATAGTTTTTTTTTTTTTTTTTTCGTATGGCTGGTATACAAATCAACACAGTTAAGGCCACAACATATATCGAATATAAATCAAAACATGAGTATAAAATAAAAATAAAATAACATAAAAATAAAATAAAATAAAATAACTACAGTTAAAAATATAAATATAAAATGTAAATAGATGGATAAATAAGTAATGATAATAGAGGCACATGGTCATTGTTTACAGATAAAATCCATAGTCATAAGGCAATGTCTAGTTCTCGAATCCATTCTAATGCTTCATTATTTGCGGCATGAATTCCCTCAATGCCCCGGTTGAACCTCCTTTTCGGGAAATTTTCCACAATATGGTGTATTGTTTGGTTATCGTGACCGCAATCACACGTAGGGCTGTCCTTAAGACCCCATTTGGACATCATGGAGCCGCACCGGCCGTGACCAGTTCGGATTCTGTTAAGTACGGACCATACATCTCGTGGTAAATCCATGCCTTCTACACCTTTATTAGGGTCTGACACTAGACCACTATTTTTTACATCAATTGATGTCCAGTTTTCGCACCATTCTTTTGTACCCTCAAAGTTTGATAGTGCTAACTCCTTAGCTGTGCTTCACGGGGGCTTTCTTGATTTTAGCCTGAGGTTAGGTGTATTTATCAGCATTTGGTATAACATGGATTTTTTCGTCTTATCAGCCTTGGTTGTTGTTCTAAGCAGTGCCTCCTTTCTGCGTAATGTTGGTGGCAGAATATTAGTTAAGACTGGTAACCATTGTGTCGGTGTGCTTTTTACTTTTCCACTAACTATTCTCATTGCGCTGTTGAGTTGTGTGTCTATTTTTTTCGTATGTGTACTGTTACACCAGACTTGAGCACCGTATTCTGCGGTACTGTAAACTAGGGCCAACGTAGCTGTTCTTAGAGTTCTGCCATCTGCTCCCCAGCCCGTGCCACAAATGAAGTGTCAAGTCGAAAGAAAACTTATTCCTGAGCAAGTTGGTTTTAGACCAGGCAAAAACTGTACAGGACAGGTATTAAATCTGTGCCAACACATAGAGGACGGCTACAAAATCAAAAAAATTACAGGGATGGTTTTTGTAGACCTATCTGCAGCGTACGACACGGTAAACCATAATCTTCTATCTTCTACTTAAAAGTATATACGAATGCACAAATAACTGGCAACTTATCCGAATAATATCTTCTATGTTACACAACCGGCGTTTTACAGTCACGTTAAACAACATGGAGCAGATGGAGAAACCAGCGAAATGGCTTACTACAAGGTAGTGTATTAGCGCCTATGTTATTTAACATATACACTAACGATCAACCCATTATTGAAGAAACAAAACATTTCTTATATGCAGACGACTTGGCCTTAGCAGCGCAGGACACAACCTTCCAAATAGTTGAACGTAAACTTACCAAATCACTTCAAGAATTAACAAATTATTACATAAATAACCAACTAAGACCCAATCCAGATACAGGTATGCGGCATCCACCTCTGAAACCGCGAGGCAAAAAGAGAACTAAAAGTTGAACGGTTTGGAAAACCATTGTGAAATACAAAACATCCAGTTTACCTAGGGATCACAGTGAACAGAACTCTCACGTTCAAAGAACAGTGTAAGAAAACTAAAATGAAAGTTGAAGAAAGAAACAACCTTATACGGAAACTAGTAGGAAGCAAGTGGGGTGTAACTCTAAACACGATCCGTACTATTGGACTAGCACTTAGTTTCTCCGCTGGTGAGTATGCTTGCCCTGTATGGAACCAATCTAAACATACAAAACATGTTGACACGATCCTTAATGAGACATGTAGGGTAGGGTAACCATATTTATAAAAAAAAAACGGGACAAATATGTTCTCTAAAAAAAAAGACCTCATTATTATATATTATATGCAATAAAAATAATTTTTAATTAGTTTAATATTTTAATAAAACATTGATTTGAATTCTTTTTTTGCTGTTAGATTGAAAAAAATTACTTAAAATATTTTTTATTTTTATTGAGTTATTGTTGATTGTTCATAATTTTTTTCATTAAATCCTTTGACATTATATTTTTTTGATAAACTGATCGCATTTAATAGTTTTGGTTGTGTTAACAAAAAATCATAAAAATCATTACAGGAATATTTTTTTAAATTATTTTTAAAAATATTTATTGCTTCGACAGTTGGTACGCATAGGCGCAACTAAAGTCCAAATATTGAGGGTGCTGAAATTACGTAGTTCACACTAACTCTCGCCCCCCCCCCCCCAAGTACCATATCACAATTTAATCACTATATGTACCATAACAATATACATACACTAATATTTTAATTTATAAATATTAACAAGCCCAACCTATATTATTTCATTTAGGTCATACAGTACTAAAAAATACACTAATGAAAAAAAATATTATACAATATATAACATAATATTCATACTAGTATTATCTTGCGATGACTAGTGGAATATTTTTCAAGTATTTCTGACGATGAAATTAACTAATAGTCATAAACAATTAATCTTTTTGATAAAAGATAAATGTATGGTTACTCGGGACCACAAAGGAGACTTAAATCTTGAAGAAGCTTTATTGCCGATTCGACCATGATCCAAGATTCACCGGAACAACACAGAATACGAAAATGGAGAGAAGAGCTACAATGTGAAAAACCTGTTCTGCCTGCTGAGAATTTACCATGTGGAGGAAATTAACCATGGGTTATATGGAAGACATTAAATAAGCTAAGAACTGGAGTAGCTAAAACAAAAGCAAACATGATGAAATGGGATACCAGAAAGAACCGGACATACTATGTGAATGTGGCGAAGACCAATCAGATGACCACTTATTACAGTGCACACTATCCCCGCCAAGATGACTTGGCTTTAGCCAAAGAAAAAGCAATAGCAATGGCCACTCACTGGCTAAAACAAAATATTTAAACATTTATTTTATATTTTATATTCATATTTTAACCTACTTATTTTTATATTACTTTAGGTAGGCATTTATTTATTAATGTAATAGCATATAGCCTCAGCACCGTACACGATAAGAAGACAGTATATATATATATTTTAATTCGCAAGTCTGGTGTGAAACTTTGAAATAACTATTACACTTTTATGTCAGGTCATTTTTTTAAAAAATGTTTTCTGATATTTCGGAAGAGGGGAAGAGGTTGAATCCCTAAAATTCCCCTGCGACTCTGCCTGCAGTTAAGCATTTTTTGTGAATTATGCGCTGATGATACATAATAATATAAATACTTTACTTGAACGTTAGTATATCGATTAATAACGAACACGAAACGTACTGAAAACGGTGAAATAGGTGAAACAGCTGTATTGTGATTTATTTTTTATTAACTAGTTGTAATTGTTTATAGGATGGGAAGGATTTTTTAAATCATATATTCCCTACACAAGTAATAAATATTTGAAGAGTATCATTCACTGACTAGTTTACAAATATCTATTATAAGTAAGTCTTAAGGTTATTACGTACAGAAAAATGTGTAGATAAAATTATCTTAATAATATACTATGTAGGAAATTTGATTATTATGTTGGAAAATATTTTTAGATACTATTGTTTCCAGGTAACAATTAATAAATGCAGCAGTTGCAACAACAATCTAAAATGTATTTTTAAGTTCATATATTACATGTTACATAAATCAAGAAAGCCTTATTACATATAACCATAATACTCCATGAGCCTAAGGTCTGTATATAATTTCCCTTCATTTAACGGAGAGCATCCATTTATGGTATGATCATTAAATATTGTTTTGCTAACAGTCTACACGAAATACATGATATTTAAAAATCGTTCGTTTAATTTGAATTTCAGGGAATTATATTGATTCCGTGGAACTATAACACATGTATTTTAGTTGCAGCTAGTTGGTGTTTAACTCATACCACACCGATTACAAAAAAATAGTAAACTATTTGTTTCTTATAGAACGTGTTATAATATAATAGTATTTAGATAGTATCATATTTATAAGTGTACTATAGGGTGTCCCTTAATTTTTTTTTTACATTTTTGTTGGTCTCACCCACTTAATTTGTGTATATGCCTACAAAAATGAACTACAAAAAGTTTTAAGTCAATCTATTAAGGTTAACTCGTGCCGACTTGAATTTGAAATTTGAGTATATTAATTCATTCATAATTTAATGATATATTTTACATTTTCATATATAACTCATTTACAATTAGGAAAATTAAAATTTGTTACATAATATATTTTAAATATAATAAAATTGTCTATAAATTATGTTCTTACATACTTCTTCTTATTTATTATAATTTACAAGATATACACTGTACAATGATTATTTCAACGAAAACAGTACATCTATGCCTAGAAAGTAATACGAACAGTTATTGTAAATTATTCTTATTGAACATGATTCATTAGATGAATATTATTCTAAACATTTGTATGCTTAAAATATTTCCACCCTATCAATCATTAATATAATTATCATGTAATTATAATAAATATTATGACTATCAATAAAGAAGTATCTCATTATTTACTAAAATACAAGTTGTATTGACTTATGATTTTTAAGAACAACCTATAATATTTTAATTGTACACCCTAAAATAAAAAATTTCCTGTTAATTTACATAAATCTGACATCAGACTGACGGCTTATTAATTTTAACCATAAAAAGTTCGGATAGCAGTAGAAAATGATGTATAATATATTAATATACATTTTTATAACACTCATATTTTTCTAGATAATAATATAGTCTAGACATTTATACCCAAGTCTGGAAATAAAAAATAAAAAACGAATTGGTCAAAATTGTCGAGACGTATATTTAAAATTGTTTAAGAAGATGTTATTTAAAAATAATTAGTTTGAATAGGATTATACAATTTAATATTATTATAATTTTAAGTATCGAATAAGTAACAATAATCATATTACTCATTACTTCTCGAATAATATGATATTTTTCAAGCTTTTTAGAAATGTCGATAGAAAATCCATATAGAGTGGTTGCAGGATTTATCAACACGAGATTTCATCAATCGATTAAAAGTCAGATAAGTTTAGGAATAGAAGCTGTGTTCCATCCAAATCCATTGGTTACATTTGTGTTAATCAAAGTAAATATATGTTAAGTGTTTTGTCTTTGAAACGGTATATTATATAAAAAGGTTGAGTGATTTCTATTCATATTTGTAGGTTATATTAAAAATGTTTATAATTGTTAATTTTATTATTATCAATTTTAAAATCATTTGGATAAAAATTAGTCTTTGTGATTTTTATTACATTTGAAAGAACCTCATATTGGTCGTAGGTAAATGTGATCATAATATAACATTTAAATTAAATTTTAAACTTTACAAACAAATATATTTAGAGTTTGGTGCATAAGAAAAGTATTTTCCTATACACTCAGGAATGACACTTCAATATGATTCAGTGGCATTCTCAGGATATTTTAGTAAAGGCGATAAAAAATAATTGTACTAAAATAAACAATAAGGGAGGGTGTCGGTTGATATTGATCGGTTGTATCTATCTGTCTCTATTAGTCCTCATTGCTACTGCAATATTGAAATATTACAAAAATCTTCAATTCTTGTCATTATTATTACATTTTTTATTTAAACTTTAGTAAAAATAATTTTTATTTACACTCACAAATATAAAGTAATAAATCAATTTTTCTGGATTCTGAAAAAAAACAAATCATTGGAGGGTCTATCTCCTACATCCCTCTCCTCCTTGTGGAATACCCATGCTATAATTATACGTAAATCTAATATATTTAGATAAAATATATTTTATACATTGTTGTAATAATATAAATACTCTAATTATTTAATTATATAAATAATAGTTGTAGTAAAATTAACATATTAATATAAATTTATTATAAGACATGATGTTCTATATGTACTTCGAAATATTTAACAAGCACAAAGAAAAATGGGAAACTTCTAGGTTGGGTGAATGTTATTGTTGTTTTAGCCTTTTAAACTTGAAACCAATGTACCATTCTTTCTAAAAAAAATATTTTTAATGAAAGAGGTCTAGAGAATTAGTTTTTATTTCCGAATATGTAGTTCGATGTAGTAGAAGCAATTTTTTTAATAAGGTAGGTTAAACTTTTATTGTTTATATATTCCCAAAAAAAGCCATCTAAAATTTGAGAAAATCATAAAAATAGGTAAAAAAAAGGGGCTTCTGGCCCACCTTCATCCTCAGATACCCTCCGCCGACAGTTCATAAATTTAAAATGTCTTCAAACAGCAAAAACTTCATTAAAATATTTCGAAACTATGAAATGTCTATAATTAAATAACTAATAATATATTATGAAAATTTGTTTAAATATCCGATAAAAATTTTACATTTATAAATCATTTTTAAGATTTTACAGTATTTACTTTTATTTTTTTCTTGACTACAAAGAGAATCTTATAAAAAATCTTATAACCAATTTTCAAACCGTAATTATGAAAATATAGTGGGTTTTGGTGTTTTTATTATTTTGTCAAAAATGAGTAGGTATTTCATAAATTGTATTTTTTTTTTCAAATTAATTTCAAATTTTTTTTTTAATAGATAATAGATATGTATGAGGGACTTTGTAATATATTTTCAAGAATTTTTGTAAAACCAATATTATTTTATCGACATTTTAAAAAAGAAACTGAGAAAGTATGAAAATGTCAATCTTTTATAAATATTTCTAAAATATCTTTTGGGAATTATGCTATTTAAAAAAACCAGTATTATAAAAAATCGGTGAAAATGTTATGTCCCTACGGTTTTTTTTTTCAAATTACGGTGAAAACAAAACTTCGATTTTGTTGAAAACTGTAATGCCGTTTATTTGATAACTTTTTGTCAATTTTCCATAATTATTAAGAAAACTGTTGGAAAATTCGTAAAATTACCATCTGTCAAAGTATCAACTAGACTAAATTTTCTACCAGAGATCTCTTATAGTTATGATGTTAGGAGCGATCTTTATGGTCAAAATATGTATATATAAATATCATAAATCAAAAAAAAAAAAATTCCCATATACAGACATCATGGTAAAACTAATATATGTATATATATATTGTTTCATTCACAATCTAAAAAAAATTTAATTAATTTTAAAACATTGCGTTGAATTCATTAAAGTGAATGAAGCGAAACGCATGGCCGTCGACCAATCCCGTTACAATAATATCCTGCCCTCGCTTACAATATATTCGTCCCTGTGGCCCATCCAAAAAAGAGCGTCCTGTCCACCAATGCGAGGAATGTCCGTTATTTGTTATAATTCATATTTTTCTGATGGTGAGGAGAGACCGGGGGAATACGATTCAAAATTGAACGAAATACAAATAATACAATATACAAAATAGTATCAGAGATCAATGGCGTAATTTCGTATTTGATTTGTACGAAAACCGGTCGGATCTCTCACGGGTCCAACTACAATGCACTACGTAACGCGCCAAATAATATTTTATAAGAGTTCCCATATACGAGTAAATGTTCATAACTGAGACAGAGACGGCTTGATCATGAATTCTGTGGTTCACTGAACTAGCAAAAAGTTTGGGGTGGGTGTCATTTTAATAGATGGCTACTTGGTCTTGGAAACTGGTAGCGGTAGGTAATATAGAATTGGTAATTTAATAGAAATCAGGTACATTTTTGTACCTTTTACGGCTTTTTGGTAGGTAGATGGGTGGTGTTAACTATGCTTGAACCATAAATTAAAAAAATTTCAAACCGCCCATGACTCGAGATACCGTTGGCCGAAATGTTATTGCCGGGAATCAACACCGCGGTGTACGGCAAAACGTTTACAACGCGTTAAATTACGTACAAATATAACAACCGAGTGTCGGGTACGATTTCTTTCGTTCAGGTGATTCCCGAGTTCCAGCGCACATTATTCGTCGACTACCAACAGTTAAAATACAATGAAAACGAACCAGTAAACGACGACTGCGACTCCATGTACTGGTCGCTGTTCGGAAATGAAATGAGCGGTGAGAACTTTGACTACGTGTACATGTTGATTAACCAGAACCCGTGTCCGTACGGACGCTGTCACTATTCGAACAAAACCGAGTGTTCAGTGTTCGATTCGTTCGAGGTTAGTTTTATACACGGCTACCGTTCAGACGTGCGCACGGTGTACTAAATGAAAAATGCAACGATTATAAAATGACGCGCGATAAAATAACGATAAATACATTTTGAACCGATAAAATCAAACACTTCCTACCGTTTTGGGGAGCAACAAAATTTGAATTTATCTAATCGCTTTCGAAAGAACGTTTGTAATGCATCAACACATTATTATAATGTTTATTGATCATATTTTATTGTGGTGTGGCTTCGTTTTCGTTTCTTACACCGCCTTAGCTGGTTCGTAAATGTACATGTATCTATAATAATACATTGTTTTCTATAGAAAAACGCGATATCTGCGACGATTTTATGCAATGATCATTTGATGAGTTTTGCTGAATTTGGATATGGAAAAGACAACGGATCCGTGCACTATCACAAAATCACCAACGAGATAATTATATGGTTAAAACAACACATACATAGTTTATAGCAGATGTGTTTTTCAATATAATATAATAAATAATGATACTTGTCTGTAAAAAAATTTAACCTCACCGTTAAAATAGTATATTATTTGATCAAAAATAGAATAAACGGTTTGTTTTAAT